ACGAGGGCCGCCTTCTACACACCGAGAAGACGAAGGTCGACACCAACTTCCTCCCGTGGGAACACCCGAAGACCCAAGATACCACGACGACAGACATCATAGACCCAACATGGCCGCACCAGTAACACTTCCCTCCATTCAGGATCCCCACGGCGCCTACGGCCAACCAGCCTACCCGAGGTCCTACCCTGGCGATCCACGGGGTGACCCGCGCGCCGATCCGCGCGCCAGCAATTACAGCGCCTCCCCGAATTCCGTTAACGGCTACCCGCCGCCGCAACCGGGTGGTCATGCGCCGCAACTGCCGCCGTTGCAACCCCCGGGTGACCCCAGATCTCCCACTTATCCTCCCCCGCCAGATGGAAGGGACGACTACTACAGAAATCGCCAGCCTCCGCCGCAGTATGGCGACCCCTACTATCAGGAGTATCACAACCGTCAAGGCCCGCCTCCTCCGGGTCGCTACGCCGACTACCCTCCACCTGGCCCTGGTGGTCCACGATACGACTACCCACCAGGCGCACCGAGATACGACTACGGTCAAGGAGGCCCTCCCATGCAGCAAGCTGCCCCAAGACAACGAACCTCTATAGCTTGCAGGTACTGCAGAAAGAGAAAGGTACTTCTCCCCCAAAGCGATGCGACAAAGGAACTCTTTGAGACTAATTTGGAATGCTTCAGATTCGGTGCAGCGGCTATCAGAGTGCGCCTGGCGGCAAATGCGTAAACTGCAGCAGGATGAACCAGGAGTGCATATTCCAGCCCGTATCTTCGTCTAGCTCGACTGCATTTGTGCCCGTGTCGGCCATCCAGGGAGGTGTTCCACCGGGAACGCCGCTCTATGGGGCTTACGGGCAGCCTCTACCTCCGGGTTCGCTGCCTCCGCCACCGGGCCCCCAGGGTTATCCCCCTCAGCCTGGCAACGGCGGTTACTACCAACAACCACTCCCTTCTCCAACGGGCGGCTACTCGCCCTACGATGCGCAGCGTGGAAGGCGGCGGCCGAGGGACGATGAAGTTGACGAGCTCCGACCTCCGCCACCCGATCCGAACTCTGCAGACGACCCTCGACGTCGCTCACCAGCCTCGAGCTCGAATCACAGCAGCCCGGGAGGCTACATGGGCTACTCGCAAGGCGGTCATCCCGGATATGACCCAAGAGCGCCTCCGGCTAGACATAGCCCTGGACAGCCGGCGGCAGTACCTCACCCGCAGACGGGAGACGAGCGAGCCGCGGCAGCGACCCAGCGACAAAGCAATTCCTCCACACCCGCAGCATCCTCGAGCTCGGTTATGAGCCTGAATAACTTGGTGGACACGACTCCAAATGACATTGACAGGAACATGCTGGGAAGGCTGAACCGTCCTCCAGTGAGAAAGTGAGGAGATGAGGCGCATGTAGGGGGAGAGAGCGTGATCCTTCGTCTTCAGGGGAACCTAATTATTCCGCGGATATCGACCGCCTCAGTCCGACGCAAATAGGAATGGATCTGCTGGCCAGGTACTCTCTTCGCTTTGGAAAATCTCTCAACACGACAGCCTTGGAGACTACGCTTCCACCTCGATTATTGCGAGCGATGCCGGCGAAAGCGGCAACGACGTCAAGAGATCCATGCGATTTAACTCAGGTTGCATACATTACAAAGTTCATGGGAAACGCACATCGGTCTTTGACAGGCATAGGCAGGCAGGCATGAGCTTCTGTAGCAAGTGAGTTTCCATGATGGAGGGGGAAATTGGCGGGAACGGCTTCCAGGATCAGCCAAAAAAATAAATTCCACGGTCAGCATCGTCTTGATTTACGATTTTTTGGTGTTTGCTGGGGGCTGGCTGAGGTTGGGAAATGGTGGGAGGTTTTTTGCTTGAGCATACCACATACGCGGGTTTCCCGAGATCCGGGAAACTGGTCCTTGCATTCTTATTTGCTTTGTTCTACACCTTTTCTTTTCGTACACAGTCATTTCCCAAAGGAACGGAAAGGGTTAAGATTGGTCTGCCTCACGGCACACGTCTGTTTTTGATTTTCTGTCCTGCCTTTTTACTCATTTTAGTACCCATTGTCCGACACGCCACACATGCTGGAGTGTTATATTTTTCATGTCAAAACCGCTGCGTACCTTGTTTTTTTTTTTCATTTTATCGTATCTTTACTAGTATCCCAAACGTTGAGAGAGTATTACGAAGGCGAAATCGCGCAAGCGATGCAAAGGAACCGGGCGGCAAAGATATCACACAATAACCTCATCATTTTTATCTACATCCCACATGAATCGGATGCGTTTTATTATTTTCCCTCCCCACCCCCCGTCATGTCATGTTGTGTTTTTCGTTCTGCAGAAGTCAGAAGTTGGCAGCACCGCGAGGGCTACAAAAAATTCCGAGGTTATTTTTTTCTACTACTACTTCATTCCAACGATTCTCTCTACTCATGATTGTCATGTTCTCTCTCTCACACATAGCAACACACCCACACAACCCGACAAGGTGTGGTGTGCGGTTTGGAAAGAAAGTAATGAAACAGAAAAACACACTTTTAAGAAGCCAAGCGTAGCATTGCCACTATTGTCACCATTGTCTGTGGTTATTTCCTATTTCTCGCTTGTCAGAGGTCTTACAAGCCAAAAAGAACAAAGCAAGGAAGAATGAGTTTTGTGCCAAAGCTTCAACGTTGTTTGCTGAAGATGTTTTTGACTCTTTGCTGTCGTTACTCGCCTGTCTCCAAGTCCGTAATCCCGAGGGAACATAAAAATAATGTGTCCCACCCCCCATCTATATGTGACACGTCATATTGATCCGACGGTTGAAAAGGGCTAAAGGTAAGGGAAAGGAAAGGCCGCAGAGGCGACTAAGGCTTTGAAGGGAGAGAAGCACGGACAGATCTTCCGCTTTAGCAGGACATAATAAGGAAGTCGAGACCAGTAGTTTCCCCGTCCTTTAATATCAGATTAAAGCTTCTTCTAATATCGATAAACGTGCGTTCGCGCGCTTGGTGGAGGGGAAGGGAGGGGGGGGGGATGGGGGGAAGCTTTGTTTTTTCAGCACTGATGTTTTTTTTTATGATTGGTGACGGGAACCTACCTACCTAAAGCAGGGAGGGGAGAAGAGAAGGGTAAGGGGAAAATGGGAACGGGGGAAGAGGGAAAGAAGATGAGGAGCCACCACCGCTTGTTGCCGCGGCCGCCGGTGCCGCCGCCGAGTTTACCTTTGCGGCACGGTACTTTCCCCCCTCTTCCACTTCCACTTCGACCTCCAATGACCCCCTCACTTAGACTCACGAGTAAGAAAAGAAGAAGAAAAAGAAAGGAGAAAGGAAAATATGTTGTTTGCTGTACGCATACAGAAAGAGTCCTGGGGCCGGACCGCCGATGCTGTCTAACTCGGGGACCTAGCCTGCCTTTGCCTGCGTCCTTTCCTACAACCAAGCCTCAGTCTATCCTCCTACTCCGCAGAACCCCAGGCACACGGGGAACAGCGGCATCAAGCATGGGGAGAGGGGGGGGGGGGGGGGAGGGAAAGGCAACCGTTTCGGCCGCCCGTCCGCGGCGCGTTCCTTAGGTTTTTTTTTTTTTGTTATTGCGGGAAGGGATAAAACCAAACGTAAGTGTTCAATGGTCAAAGTAGGTTTCCACTTCATGGGGACGCGGCGGCCGGCGGCAATGGCACGGCACGTAACGAACGGGTTTGTTGGTGGTTGGGTTTGGTCCAAAAGTGTATAGTAAACTGGCGGCGACGCTGTTGGGGACTTTTCGGGTTCCGGAAAGGCATTTGCCAGATGGAGGGGCCAGAGTAAAAGTGGTAGAACTGCCGGTGTGTGAGGTGTGAAATTATTCATTCCTCTTAGTTTGAGGTTCTAAGTAAGGTAGCTTGGTCCATGGTATGCCGGTCTTTCTTTCTTTTCCATTTTCTTTATTGTGTTGGCTCTCTTTCTCCTCGTCAGCTATTTTTATGAGCAATACTGTTTTCCAAGAGCTTGGTCGTGAGTTTTTGAGTATGGGCGGCTTGGTATCACCCCTCAAAGCTCAAGCGTCCGGCAGAGAAGGAGAAAAGAGTCAACGTCACCGCGGACAAGTACCCAAAAAAAAAAAAAAAAAGTCCAGAAATAACAAACAAACTAAAGACATCTTCGCTTGTTGTTTTCCATGGTTTCTTCTTCTTGTTCTTTGTTCTTTACGTCTGCGCCTGGGCTGGTGTCTTTCGGTACTTGGGAAAACGAACCAACACAAAGGGGGATGGATCCTAACCAACCAACCTAAACTGCCCCCTCGGGCCCCCCCATCTGCGCCCCCCTTCTCCCCTCAGGAACAAAGGAAGAAGAACAAAGAGTAGCCTGTCAGGGAGAATCACGAGGGAAGAAAACAGTTTTCCAACAAGGACGGAACTTGAGGAGGAGGAAACGAGAGCTTCAATACAACAGCACAATAGAAGCAAAGGACTTTTTTTTTCCTCTCCAGATCTGCAATGTTCAAATTTTACTCTGGGGGGTCCACTAAACCTGAAAGACACGATTGTTCGTTCCCACATGGCGTCTCTATCGATATGTCTCCCGTGTCTGGTCACTGGTGTCTGTATGGGTGGTTTGTATGGCGTGTGCGGTGCGGGAGGAGGCGAAGAGGGGAGGAGGGGAGGGGCAGCCAGCCAGCCTGCCAGTCCAGAGGAGAGAAGCAGAAGAAGAACAGGCGCCGTTCGAGGCGAACCGGGTTCAAGCTAGTTACATTTCGGGGGCCAGTGGACGAGGTGGACGAGTGGACGAGAGAGAAACTTCGAGTTCCTCTTTGACAGGCCCCTCGTTGCCGCCAATCCATTTGTCGAGAGGGAAGAGCTTTCGGGGACCCTTGGCGCTAGTCCCGGGTCTCCTCTCTTGTGCTCTCTCTCTCTCTCTCCTCGCCGCTTCACCTCAGTTCTCTCCTCTTACTCGACGAGTCGCCTGCCTTTTTTTTTTTCCCCGCGCGGCGGCGGGCCAAAACGAACGAGAGAAAGAGAGAAGGGGAAGGGATGAGCCCATGATTGGTGTCCGGGCTTCGGTTGGCCCCTCTCCGCAATCAACGCTCATGGGGACCTTGGATTGGGTTGATCCTGGTTACACAAACCTGCGCGCGAGCGAGAGCCAAAGGGGGTGGTGTATACACGCCTGTCTCTCAGGCAGGGGAGGGGCAAGGAGAATGCCGTTCGCCATTATCGAGCACTGTGGTCCGAGGAACCGACTAGGTACACTCGAGTCACACACAATACAATACACACGCCATCCTTGACATAGGCATCCAAACCACGACACCAAAACAGAGCCAGAATCGGAAGATGACTCGACGAGGTTGAAGGAATATGGAAAATTCACTCGTGACGACGAGACAAACCAAGCGGAAGCCGCGAGCGTGCATAACACACGTACACTCACGCGTCTGCCTCGTTGCACCGTCGCCGAGAAGGAACGGTACATAGGGCAGGCAGGATTCGAACCGGTCAAGAGAGCAGACGGCCGCTTACGGCGGTACCCATGGACTAGGCGTTGTCTGGGGTTTGTATGGCAGCTAATTACTCACATGAAGTCTGTGCTTGATAGATGCAGGCCAGGCGAGGTCGGAGCTCAGCAATGAGATGTCAGACTCCAAGTGTCTTTGCGTCCGTTGGTAAGCGTGTAAGTGTGTGTCCGAGCCTTTGCAGCTTTTGCAGCTTTTGCAGCCTCTTCCCAACGGCGAGCCCCAAGAGTACATGATGCCGATTCTTTGCAGCAACGCTAGGGATTTTGGGCCGTCGGGCTTGCGCGACATTGGGCGGAGGAGGAGGCGGAGAGAGTGCGCGGCGACCCAATGTACTAACGCAAGACAGGGAACATACCACCATTGATGAGGTCCCTGAATGCCTCGTAGCCCAGATAGGTGCCTTGGCTCAAGATCCAAGTTCCTTGCCCGGGCGGCCAGTAGGCCGGTTGGCGGAGAAAGGAGTTGCCTGCCTGCCTTCTAACAGTAGGCACCGGCCGTTGATGGGGCCGAGGGGTAGACGGGGCACGGTGAACAAGCCAGCTGAAGGGAGATAAGCCGCCGGCAAGAGAGATGAGGTGGGCTCGTCGGTGTCATGTCCCTCCTTGTTACGTGAAATTCATACACTTTCTGGCCCGCGACCCCTGCGGGACTCTTGTACCTCGCACTCTGACGGACTGCGAAAAGAGAACACCTCTTGTCCTGGAGGATATGGAGTCCGCAAACACATAGTTGGATCGACATAAAGACACTCCTGGTAGCTAAGCGCATGGCCTTCGTTTGCGTGGAGAAGAGGAGATAGATGGAGGGCCAGGGGGGGCTGAGAAGTACCAAGCAGACTATTGGCGCAGCGTTGCAAAATTATACTTGCAAAGAGGGATGAGGACTCGATGCTCAGAGGCCTAGGCTCTGTACAAGCGTTCATGGCGTTGGACCTGTGATGTGATGAATGCTAATTTTCAGCAGCCCACACCCGTTGTCCTAGGTAGATTTCAACGGAAGAGAAGGGAGTGGCTTGCCGAGCGCTGTCAAGACAAAGGCAAAAAACAGGCTAGAGAAGGCTTCGTAGGTAGTAGAGCGCCCGTCGGCCGACCACCAGGCTCCTGGGACACTCGGGAGGGATGGCGGCGGTGACGATGGGCCAAGCGGCTGGCTAGCGAGGTTCAAAATGAGAAAGAGGCTAGAGTTGAGTTCGATCGAGACACCCTATCTGACGGTACGGAGCGGGCTGGAGGAGATGGCCTGATTTGGCGAGGGCCCAGCACTAGTATTCATAGATCATGGTGTTCAGTGGCTCTGCTTGATCCGGAGAAAAGGGGGCTGATCTTGGCGATGTGAGGAGTGAAATATACGGTGTGCAATGTCCAAGACGACAGGGGAAGTAGCGAGAGAGGAGCGGAGAAGGTATGGAAGTAGTAGGATGCAGAGGCATAGGGAGTGGGATATTGCGGTTGCGCACACCGACATGGAGGAGGGGCAGGGAGGGGGAACCGAAAGAGAAGTGATGGATCTGATCGTTTTCACTGGCAAGTACCTATACCTTAGAGGAGGCGGAAGATACCAAGCGACAGCCAGCGGTGACGGTCCGGGACCACCGAAGGAGAAAAAGAGGGGGAAATGTCCCTATTCACAAACAGAGACGATGGGCGGGTCAGGGGGCGTGGACGCTGCAAGTTCGTCTGGCCTTGAGATGCTCGGATAGACCTTTGGGTTACATCCTGACGTGCAGCAATCTTGCAGGGCGACTGTCCATCCGGAAGCATCAAGGTACGTCCGTCCAAGCCCTGCCTGGATCGCCGAGTTCGAAAAGGTCGAGATGCAGTATGCCCTGACCGTAAACACAACGGGGTGTGATATAAACTGCTGTCCTAGTCCATCATTCCCAATTCTCTGGTTTGGTTTGAGGGCTTGTGTGAGGCGGTTCGGAAAATGTCACATGGTCTCAGAGTCATGCGGCCGTCAGCGCCTCCATCCATGGATGGGTTTTGCATATGCCGTTGACCGTATACAGACTGATATTCCGGGACAAGCCGGCGATCTGACATGCGTCGCGCTGATCCAGGGACTGTGCGGCTTCGTACAGTCAAACTGAACACGGTGAGGGTGTCGACTGTAGGAAAACCTGGGGAGCCCGAGACAGAGATGAGAGTAAGAATGGGAGGAAGAGGAGATACGAATGCGGAGGTCAGACGGTGTACCAGAAAAGATGACGGCAGGACAGGAACGTGGGAAGGGGGCGTGAGGGGAGAGTGGTTAGGACACGGCGTGCTGACCGAAAACGGCGACGCTTCTGCGTACCTGACTTTGTCCGATTTTCCAGCCCGTCCTTCCCGTGCTGCGCAAAGGTAAGATGTACATTGAGGCTTTCCCGAACCGGCTGAATGGCGTGTCGTTGTGGAAAGTACGAACGTTTGAGGCGCGCCGGATCAAGAACGAAACAGACGAACGGCCGCGGAGGAAGGCGGGAGAGCAAGGACTACCGAGGAATGGGAAAGCTGGTAATAGTACGACAGCTCTAAGGTAGGAGCAGGTCAATGTGCTGGCTGGGAACGGAAAGTCAACTGCGCTGAGCTCGTGGTGCTGCTTCTTTCTATCGGTTTATGCGACGAGAAACAAACCTTGGTGCTCGGCTCTTGACAAGTATTATTTTCAAGCTTTTCTCCAATGTGCAGGCAGCCCATTGTACGCTCCCGATTTCGCCTGTCCTTTTCTGGTAGCAGAATGGTCATTATTCAATTATTCCTAGTGTTGTTTTCGTCTCCTGGTATCGTCTGGAGTGGAGTGTGGTGTTGTTTCCAACTCGACCTATCCCTGACATCAACATGACGTTGGTATTCAAACGCGTCAAGGCCCCTTTCCAAGGCGAGCTTCCGTCCTGCACGAATCTTGGTCAGCGTAGTTCGAGCAGAAGCCTTCGAATGTTGGTGGACACCGACATACTTCAATGGTCAGTCAAACATTCCTCAAGTCTTGTACAACAAAAGCCCGGCAAGAAGGTCCTGCTTCGTTCCTTGATCCCGTCTCATCAGCTCCCGAGTCTCCAATCAGGTTCCAAATAAGCAACAGGTTTATAGAGAGACAGCTGACGGTGCTGACAGTTGAGACATGTCTGATGTTGCTACACGCGTGTCTCTGCATCTATCTGTATCGACCGGGAAGCATACCCGCACGTATATACGAACTGAATCACATCGACGCCTATCCAGCACCGACGGGACGTTTGTGCAGCTGCAAACAGGCGGAAAGAAGAGACAAGCAGCCACAATGTCTCTCCCTCCCCATCGATCTACCCCATCGCCGTTAGCCCTTTCTGACCTCCTCCCTTGAATGCCTCTCGTCAGGTTGCCAGGGAACGTTTGCCGATCCCAATTGATCTCCAGTCATTGTTTGTCATTCCTATCGAAACGTCAAATTCTTGTTCACTGTTCGACAAAACCTCATTCTATCCTTCGACAAAAGCGAATCGAGAATATGACGAAAAGTAGACCCATACCTACTACCGAGCTTCTGCGCCTACAGCATCCCCGAGACCAAACATGATGGTGGGCAGCTCTAGGAAGCTATCAGGGAACACAACTCTAGGGCGAACATTCCAGAGAGAGAGACCTGCTAATTACCATCAGGCTGTCAACCGTCTCAAGCCAGCTGAGGGAGCCGGAGCACCCTGCTGACTAGGTCAGCCATCCGAGTCTTGCGAAACCTTCCTGCCGTTCCGCGACCCGACCTGCCGGGCCCTAACAATCCGAGGAATGACGCTCGGCCAATACTTGAAGAACCCTCGGGGAACTATCGAGTTGTCATGGCCACATACATTCCATGCCATCTGCGCAGCGTGTGGAGAAGCAAGAAGATTCGGGACGGCCCAGATCCGCGCTCAGCCAGCCCAAGGCATTACCAGGCTCGCCAATCCAGTTACGGTCTTGACAGGTCTTCAGTCTTGAACTAAAAGTGCTGGAACTGTAGAGAACAAAAGGGAACATCTCCGACCATACAGGTAATCGAGTTGAGACTTTGCCGTGGAAGAGCCTCGAGATTCATTGTTCACCCCTCTGCATCCACCTTTTTCGTCATACGACTCAGGGTTAGGGTTGCTTGTACTGACAGCGAAAACAGAGTTCTCGGCCAGCAAAGCCTTGCACGAAATCGCACGGTGGAGACTATGCAGGCATCTTATCCGCAGGATCATTCGCGCTGGAATACACTCCAGAGGGCTAAGCGAGGGCGGCGCGGCTGGAACATGTCTTACAAGTCATTTTGGTGTGCCCCTGGCGGAAGCTAGTCCACCACTCGACCAGATTCCCGGGAATCATGTCTCGTTCCTCTACACGGACGGCCCGGTGGCGTGCGTACCTCGCACTCAAACACCCCCTCTAGATGTAAGACACAGAGACGATTTCAGCCAGCCACAGGAAACTTCCGGCCTTGGCTGATTTTACAATGGCACGCGATGTCTCGCCATATATGATTTCGGAAAGCGATAGCCATGTTTGACCATCAATCTGTCACGGGACCAGGTAGCTTCACACGGTGTGGAGCCATGGCCTCGCAAGTTACAAGGCTTTCGAACGATCACTCTCTGATGACAATACTTTCAGTACAGGATCTCGATCGACGGATGGCAGGCACCCGAGAGAGAGAGAGTGAGAAACTGAGATTCGAGCAAGCGAGTGCTTGCGTTTGCACAGGGAACTCTTTCGCGGTTCTAACGCAGCCTTGGCGGACTGGAAAAAAGCATCCACCTTGGGGATATTTGGTGGCTTCTCTGCTGGATATGGTCAAACCACGACGTTCCTCTTTGGTAATCTTGGCCAGACACATTCTGCAGAGCTACGACCGACATATCTGAAGGAGACTTTTTGGCATGCTATGCCTAGACTATCAAGTGTGCTGTTTTCGTTCATGGTCAATTAGCCAACCTCTCGACATCCATAGGCAAGTTTGTCTTCCGAATGTTTGATATCACATTTCTACACGTTTCAACCCTCATTTACAACTGCAAGTAGCATCACTCAAAAGAGGCTACGATAAATGCCCCAGTGTCAGTAGCAATTCCTTCCCTTCTCGGCTAAACACTACGACGCGCAAATCGGCTGCTTGATATCAGCCTCTCAGGAGCCGTGGTGCAAAGGAACGAGCTCAAGTGCCGATAGTAGCTAAGCAGGACTATTTGGGAGACGCCCGGTACCCAGTTCGGGACGCTCTGGTGCTCTATCCGCGGAACATGGCTTCAGGCCCTTCGAGACATAAATGTGTTAACATTTTCCTGGTTTCGGACTTCTGGTACCAAAGCTTGAGAGCCACGAGATCTTAGATCAGCCCCAAGTTAACTATACATGAATCACTTTGATCGAACAGAGGTACTACAGGCATATGAACGTCCGTACGAGCTCGCCCACCCCTCGTCAGGGTAGTTATATACCTGGCAGCAAATTGCGTTTTACCCGCAACACATTTAGTTACATTACCACCATATCAACCACCACAGCGTCAGGGAGCGAAGATGAAATGCACAGTACACGTCTTCGAGACTCGTAGAATCTACTGGAACATTAAAATC